ATTTTTCTTTTTCTCCCCCCCTTCCCCCCCCCCCGTTATATACACCTATAGTTTAAAGAGTTACTTGCTGATGTAACATAAATTAAGACAGGTCTCTTCTCCCATTTCCCCTCTCTGCCGGCAAACACTTTAATGCTTTTAGCTGTTTTGGGGGGATATGTTTTTCTATATCTCCAAATGAATTGCTTCTTGATGATTTTTCAGTTTGGGTCATTTTAATTAACTCTCACTATGGAAGAAAAAGACGTAGCTCTTTTTCTACCTACCTCTACCCTCTCACCCTCTTCCATCATCATACATTCACATCTCCTTCCAACTGAGTAACTGAAAATACTCTGTCCTATAAGGTCACTATCAGTTGGAATCAACTCAATGGCACTGGGTTTTTTTTTTTTTTGGGGGGGGGGCGGTGGCGGGTTTAATTAATACTTCCTGAGGCACCCGATGCCACCAACTCCTGAGCCTTTTAAGGATCCTGTGATATCTGGGTTGGTTGGCTCTCAGTTTTCTCACCTGCTGACATCAAACCCAGCTTTCTTTGGCATGTTAAGTGAGTTATTACATGTCCATCGTTTTCTAAATTCCCATATTACTTCAATATCGTCTTTTCTCCTGTTCTTCCCATTCTTATGGGTTTAAATTTTTTTTTAAATCTCTTTACTGTCATTTTAGTAGGTTTCAGGAGGGCACAAGAAGATGCTTTAATGAGTATTATTTATAAAGAAAAAGAAACCTAGGATGCATACAAAAGCAATTTAGGTACAAAGATGAAAAACACAGATCCTGCTCTCTGGTGTCACAGAGTCATGGTGATGCCATCAGAAGCAGTAAAATGACCAACACAACACCACGTGAGAAGTGCTGTGATAACTAAGTACACAGAGGGACAGGAGCTCACACAGGAGTTGAGTATTATGGAATAGTATCTTCAAGTTCCCCAAGGAGAAGGTACAGGTGAGCATAGAAGGCTCAGGGAAGGATAGTGTGGCTAGAGCGCAAGGAAGGAGTAAGATCATGAAGAAGATCATGTAGATGGCGCTAATGAGTTCAGATTTTATCCTGAGGGCATGAAGAACAAGAACTGTGTGTGGGGGAGTGACTTGATCAGATTTGGATTTTTAAAACCTCCCCCTAAAGAAGTCAGGCTGAAAAAGCTACATAATGTATGATATTCTGAAAAAGGCAAAACTATAGTAAAAAGATCAGAGGTTGCCAGGGACTTAGAGGGAGAGGGGAACAGATGAATAGGTGAAGCACAGGACATTTAAGGGCAGTGAAACTATTCTGCATAATACCGTAATGGCGGATACACGACATTATGTATTTGTCAAAACCCATCCAAACTTGTTGCTGCCGAGTTGATTCCTACTCGTGGCGACCCCATGTGTGGCAGAGTACAAGTGCTCCATAAGGTGTTCTTGGTTGTAATCTTCACAGAAGCAGATCACCAGGGCTTTCTTCTGTAGTGCCACTGGGTGGGTTCAAACGGCCAACCTTTAGGCTAGTAGTTGAGCACAAACTGCCTGTTCCACCCACGGACCTTTCAAAACCCATAGAAGTATACAATACAAGGAGTGAATCTTAATGTAAACTATGACATTTAATCAATAATAATGTATCAACACTGCTCCATCAATTGTAACAAATATACCTCACAAATGCACAATGTTAATAAGAGAAACTGTGTGCAGAGGGGAGAGGGGGCATATGGAACTCTATACTTTCTCTGCAAGTTTTCTGTAAACCTAAAACTGCTCTGAACAATACAGTATATTTTTTTAAAAAGAGTCCTCCTTGGGAGAAATGAATCAGAGGTTGGCAGTACAGAAGTCAACAGAACTTGTGGAGTTAGACAGAAGAGGGCACAGAGATGGGAGGTAAAAATGGCTGGGCTAATGACTGATTCAGTGGTGGAGTGAGGGAGAGGAAGGGCCTAGAACAACACTGGTTTCTGGATGGGATGAACAAATTAGGGCCAGAGATGGACACTAAGAGTTTGGTTTGGGGCATCGTGTGTTAGAGATGTTTGGAGATTGTGTCACAAAGTGGTAAAGTCTGGACATACTAAATCTTGGCTGGAAATAGATGCAATAGGCTGGAGCTGAACTATCTAATTAACACGTTTGTTTTGTGTCTTGAGGAAGGAGCAGCTTTTGGGTAGAGGCTCCTGTTAAGAGGTGGTGATGAGGAGGAGGGTGTTGTGTGTGTAGGTGGAGGGCTCAGGGATGTTGTGGCACATCCCTTTCTCCACTCTGCCTCAGGGACTGAGTTTCACTGAATCCTCCTGTGGAGAGGGATTAGAGCCAGAGGCTGGAGAAGCAGAATTCAGGAACAATTTTGTGAGGTGCAGATGATAGATTTCGGGGGCCCATATAACAGAACTGGGAAGAGGGCTGTCCTTCTCCTTCCCCTCCTACCTCATCCATGACTGAAACCTTCAAATTAGCAGCAAGGGGCCCTGGTGGCACAGTGGTTAAGCGTTTGGCTGCTAACCAAAAAGTGGGCAGTTCAAATCCACCAGCCACTCAAGGCAGTTTTACTCTGTCCTATAAGATCGCTATGAGTCAGAACTGACTAGACAGCAGCAGGTTTGGTTGGTTTGGAAGGCAACTTAACAAAAGTGATTTCTCAGGCCTATAAAGAAATTCATTACGACAAGACAGTTCATTTAGAGACCACACAAAGAACGTTCTGCCGATAACTGCCACAGGGAGTGAACAAGAAAATGTGTTAATATACTAATCACAGAGGTTTGCCAAATTAATTTTTCTAGCGAAATAGTTATTACAGTGATTAGTACTGTTAGCTAAATGAGATGAACAATTTTCATCCAGCTGTGTCAGATGTGGGTGCATTCTAAAGGCAAGATTCTTCTAGAGTAGAAAGTAGTAAGGGGAAAAAAATGTGTCGCCACAACCAAAACATAGCCACACAATTTATATTTTTAAAAATATACAATCAATCTAAGTGTTTTATCCCCCAAATAAAAAGCTTTGCAAAAATTTATTTCTCCACAAATGGTGTCATACACATCCAAGCGATCTATTAGGTTTTGCTATAGCTAGGAC